TTCTTCTTCTTCTGATGATGATGATGATGATGATGATGATGATGATGATGATGATGTAAAAAGGCTCAAATTCTGAAATGGCACAAAACACTCTTCCATATTGGGAAACAGCTATAACTGGGGGAAGGGACTATTGTTATGTGGCAAGATAATGGCAATTTTTAGAGTATATATTTTTAACTGCATTTTAATTATTTTGCCCTTTTATTTTGCCTTTTTATTGTGTTTTAAATGTTGTAAGCCACCCAGAGACCTTCGGGTAGTGTGGGCGGCATATACGTTAAATAAATAAAATAAAATAAATAAATAAATAAGAGGAGTCTTATTTTGATAAAAAAATAAGACAAGTTGGAGCAATCTAAAGACCTGTCTGGACTCTTCTCACAGGAGAAGAAAAAGTATTGATTGGTGTGAATGGAAAAACCGCTCAAGTGAGAGATAAAATAGATTGCACGAAAGATAAGAACCTTTTAAGCACAAATTAAACTGCTCCAAATTTTCCCACCTGGACAGGCCCCTCAGCCATTTTAGCATTGCCTGATTCTGAGTTGCAGCTCCATGAAAGAGATAAGAAGTTCCACACAAATATAGCTTTTATAGGTTTGCTCCTGCAAAGTTTTCACTCATTTCACTGCAGTTCCATTTGAGGTTAAACTGCAGGTGAAGGCAATCAAATTAGGCTGACGAGGGGGAAACAATGTCAGAGATTTGGTGTCCCGAAAGAAGAAAATATGTCTTCCTTGTTAGCTGTGTGGAGCCCTTTAATGGCGTGACAGAGTTAGAGTGAGGCCTTAGTGAATCCATTTTAAATTGTTATTCGAAATTTAAAACGTTTCTCCAAGCAGCTCAATCCCTTTTAGGGGATAGGATTCAGCACTCTGGATAGCTCCGGTAAAGTTGGACTAAAATCTAGAGTGGGTTCACCAACTCACATTGGAACCACCCTTCCTCTACATAATGCAGGGAATCCACTGCTTAAACGTTCCAAATGCATTACCACCAAGTTTCTGCCTGAACATCTCCAGTAACAGAAAGCGCCTGAATAATAGGGTCAACCTGCATACGTATGAAATGCATATTTTATGCAGTTAGAAAGTTTACCCTATAGGCACAACACTGGCAGCGCCTGAATAATAGGGTCAACCTGCATATGAAATGCATATTTTATGCAGTTAGAATGTTTAGCCTATAGGCACAACATTGAAAAATGAACCATCATACACTGTTTCTCTCCTAATAAGCAATCACAAAATAAAAAGAAGATAATTTGCAACATGAAGAATGAAATGAGCTTCTACCCTGGTAAACAGGTATCTTTCACCTCTTAAGGAAGCTTGACTTCTAATGACACACCACCTATATTGCCTAACTTGACCATGAGTTATACAAGGCAACCAACTCTTCTGCTGTTGGCCATGAGGATCTAGGGCAGTACTTCCCAACCTTGGGTCCTCAGATGTTCTTGGACTGCAACTCCCAGAAATCCAGGCCAACACAGCTAGTGGTGAAGGCTCCTGGAACTTTTCATCCAAGAACATCTGGGAACCCAAGGTTGGGAACCATTGGTCTAGAGTCACTGGGAGCTTGGACCCCTCTTCTCTCAAGAATAACAATACTGAAGCTGGGGAGGGTCCAACCTAGCCCCATCCATCCATCAAAGAAGGAAAGACCATCTGAAGAAGATATTCATTGATTCTATAGTAAAATGTTAGCTTACTAATTCCCCTTTAATTCAATGGGTTTGCTCTAGCTAGGAGTTATAACTGGATTTAAACCATCCAAGTTCAGGATTCAGCCCCGATAAAAGAATGATCAGCCAAGCCTAAATCAATACAAAATCTTCTAAACCAACTAGCCGACCATCTGTATAATTACTGATGTTTCTTCTATGAGCAATAGAGGCTTGATTATAATTAGTGTTTTGCTGCAGCATTTACCATTACTGAAGATTGTTGAGCAAGTGACATTTCTGATACTCACGCAGATCTCAGACTGTTGCCAGTTCTGAGATAATTAAACTTAAACAGCAACGCCAGTCCTACATACCAGTTCAGTCACTGCTGTTGTTGTTTTGGTGGCGGTGCCGCCGGCCGCCGTAGCATTCAACGGTCGCATTCCCTTGCCAACAGCGACTCCTACAGAGGTCATGTTTAAACAGAAAGCCAAGAGGACAGCATTAAAAGTTTTAAACTCCTTTGGTCACAGAACCTGTGACTACACAGCAGCATAGTTATTTGGCACCGTAAGCAAAATCAGCAAACAGCACAAGCTGGCATCACAGACACATGCGGCTTCCCACAGGCGTGAGCGATCTCCATGAGGCCAAGGGGGAACCCTTTTTCAGATTTGCCAGCATGCTTAGGGTTGCATACCCAAAGGTAGCAGGGATGATTAGCATGATTAACTTGTATTTACTTTGTAATGCAATGAGGCACTGTACAGGTTGCTATTGTGGGTTTTTGCCAATTGAAAAATGGACTTAACTTTTTCAAATGTTTTTAAAACCAAAGATTCCACCTTGGGCCCCATTTGCCAATTTTAATGTGGTTGAGAGGTGCAAGGTGTTAGGAGTGTCTCAAAACCAGCAAAGATTGTCCTCCTTTCCCTAAGAGGGCACACAAAAGAACTTTTGGGGCCTCCCCCCTTGAGAGAAAAAAAAGAAAATATTAAGGGTGCTTAGGGCCCCATAGATGCTAGGGCTACAAATCATATCCAAGGAGCCCTGTTGCCGACTCCTACCTTAGCATTAAATGATAGCCTATGCATAATTTTGGTGTTTTTTTACCCCTTGCAGCTACATTTTCTCAAATATTTAGCTATCGAAGATCATCAGAGCAAGGTTGTGGACGATCTGCTTGAGGTAAGCTCTGCTCTTTTTGAGGGAATTTCCAGGTGAGTGCTTATAGGATGGTTGCCTGTGTCACCTCATGCAATCCTTGCTAAAACTGATGAAGGGAAGGGAAGGTTCACCTTGTTCTGAATCCTATATCTCTTTTGAACTAGGTGCTCATCTTCAAGTGTTATTAGATCAGGAAGTACTACACAGTTTGGGAATTGCTAGCATTTTTCCTTCCTTTTGCAATGTTTTTGATCAACCTTTCACCATGTTGTACTTTAGTTTCATGAGAATACTTCCAGTCTACATATTAAAGTAAATGTCTGTTGTTTTCACTGGGCAGATGTTGAATTAATTTGGAAGAAGGAAATCCCCTGTGTATTGTTTTAGTTTGACACCATCATCTTTTCTCCTGTGCTGTTTTAATTTATTTATGTTATGTTGTAAGCCGCCCAGAGTGGTAGAATATACCAGATGGGCGGGATATAAATCAAATAAATAAATTTTCTGTTTGGTCCTGGAAAAACCTTATTGACAACACCTGTTATTGAATTGATTTTCTGTTCTGAGTGCTTGGGCTTGGACAGTCATTTCAGATGGCAGACAATAAGGGGACTCAATACCATGTAACAAAGAAAAGGAAAAGAGGACTGTTAGTTGCTGAATTTGTTTTACTAGGAGTTTGTGAGCTTAGGTGACTTAACAAAAGTTACAACTTCAGTTGTTAGCCGCTCAGAGTGGTATAAATATACCAGATGGGCGGGATATAAATCAAATCAAATAAATAAATAAATAAATAAATAAATTGTCTTTTGTTTTCCAGCTTCATTTTAGGAGGCCCTGTTGGCCTATAGTTCTGGCTGTTGCTTTTTGTTTGATACAGTTTATCTTAGGCATGTGCAATACCATTTCACAGTAGTGCCTAGACTGTATGTAGAAATCTGTTTGCAGGTAGTGTGCTTATATGAGAAGGTTTGTTGGCACAGTGATTTGTCAAATAATCCTATCACTCTTTTACTTAAGTATATTCTAGTTTGTTCATTTGGAATTACCATCCAATGTTATAAAATATAACATTTTATAAAACATTATAGATATTTAGAGGATTGGGCATAATTGTTTGAAAGCACATGCAGAGAACCACTTATCATCATAATCTTGTTATCTTTGTATATCAAGATAATTCTCTTAAAGGTAAGGGAGGGCTGAGGGTGGTGAAAGCAGAAGTAGAACTTCTTCACATAATGTCCAATATTTTAATGATGGTCTCAACTACAATCCATAACTATATTTAAATTGTCAATTATATACCATAGGCGTATCACTGGAAATAACATGTCCATAAGAGAACAATTACATATGCCATTGTATTGGAGACAAACGAAAAATAATACTCAAAACGCAGGGAGGTATGAATTTTTAGACATTTCCTCTTATGCTAAATCAGCTGTAGGATATTTTGATCCACTTCTTGCTCTTAAGAGGATAGCATTGCTTATTCTGCATTTTCTTTCTACCAGAAGAACTAACATTTGCAAGAAATATTTCTCAAAAGCAAGTAAAATCACCTAATTTTGCAGTGCTAGAATGAATATGAAGAACAAATAGTCTAACATCACATCCTAAGGCATGACTATTCAAGGCACCTAAATCAGATTACATTATCATTCTAGAAGAGAGTATGCCACAAGCAGAGGGGAGGAGGAATCTAGATATTGCATCTTTAAACATAGACCTGTGAAGCTTCAGATCTTCTGTTTTAAACCAGAAATTTGTAAATGCTACAAATGCCACTTGCAGTATTATATTTTTAACTCTAATTTTGGGTAATTAGGGCAAGTATTTATGTGTGCAGCCAGTACATCACATTGCTCGAGTTAAGGTATGATTGAGTTAGATAATGTGTTGAGAGCAAAGTTCTTTGATTTGGCTCCACCACAGTTATCTTTGCCTCAGCTATTGCATATATACTTGACAGAAGATTTGTAGGCATCTGTTGAAGTTTTGTAAGGATGGAATGCACTACATAAGTACATTATCTAAATGAAGTTTCAACAGTAATTAGAGAGTTATTGCTTCTGTCATAGTGTACTTTTCATTCTTGCTAGACTGCAGGTTTAGTGTCGTAAGCATCTTCATTTAGAAAAAGATTTCTTTTAGTTACTGTTTTACTTAAGATTGTATATTATAGTTGTTGAAACAACAGTATTGACTTAACCAGCTGGGGATAAAAATTTTGAATTTGTGTATGTTTGCAGAGAAATAGATGCTGCAAGGACACCTTTAAGTGAAGCAGAATTTGAAGAAATCATGAACAGAAATAGAGCTATTTCTAGCAGTGCCATTTCAAGAGCTGTATCAGATGCTAGTGCTGGTCAGTATATTTTGATTTATTAGCTGTCTCATTCTATAACCTGATACAAAAAACTACTGCTGGCCAGACTTGGAGGAACGCTGGTGCTGTCAGTACACCTTAC